ATCTTATAAAGCCCCTTTTCCTAGTCATTTTGCTCTACTTTGACGTAATTCACGACTATTTTATCTATTCTAAGAATCGAATTTCACAATTCATTTAAAATTATGCTGCAGCATGACATTCCTCATATCTTTCTTGCTCTATCATGGTACTAGCTCAAAGTGTTGCCATTTATATTTTTCTTAATCAGTGCCATCTTTTTGTTTAATTTGGCTTAATTTACAAGTAACTATTAATATTTTGCTTCACCTTTATCCTTCTGTGATGCAGCCCATGTTTCTATTTATTCATATTCTTATGGACTTTTGAAAATTTATATTTGAATTCTAATTCTAGGAGACCTTTGATTGAAACCGAGCTTGGAAAAGATCTATATCCTTTGATGCTTTCAACTTCAACGACATATAAATCTCCTTCAACCGAATTTTCCGATCCACGGCTCTTTCCTCGTCTTGTTCTACGCCTCATACACCTAGTTTTGGTAGATTATGGCCATGCGTTCATGGATGGCACCGAAGTGGACGATTCTGGTTTGCCGCTTAGTTATCTCAAGCAGCATGGCAAACGAGACAATAGGGAAAGACAGTCTGAGAGGCGTCATTCAAAAGAAGAAGAAGACCGGGGCTTTCAAGCCCAAGCGACTGCGTATTCAAGCATAAGTGGCAAACTGGGCAGGATTATCAATCATGAGCCCTCTTATGCACTGACCCAGTTCGACACTTCACACGACTTTAGTGTAACCCCGACAACACGAAAATTACTTGACGACAATCTCGACAACTTGCCTATCTACGTTCCTGAAACCGGACCATCTCGGCTGGTTCCTGTAACTCGGGCAGAGCCAGGGATCTTCCAAACGACTTTGACCATTAGCAGTGAACGAGAAACCCCTCCTCCTCTTCTAGTCGATACCACATGGACTAGTTGCCTTCTTCGTCTCGTGGAAGAAGGAGTAAGCGAATTTTAAACATTTCAGATTAGGTTTGTCTCTAGAAGCATCCATCAATAACTTCCTAAATGGTTCAATATTCGCTTTCGAAAAACACCCTTATTTTATTAATACGTTTATTTTTGCTATACCTTTTCTTTATCCCCAATTCACCTAAGCTTCAGATAGGAAATAAGAGACGTCTAGAATGG